TTTTATATTGGGTTTCTTACAAAGTTTGTATACATTGTGTTTCATACATTCTCATTCATTATGTTTTATAAAATTAATCACCATTGTACTGTGCCTACCGTTTATTGTCTTTGCAGATCCCCACCAGATCTTTCTTATTTCCTTTACCGCCTTCCCCCAAACACCAAATTTTGTCTGTTATTTCCACCCTGCTCATCTTCACCCATCTGTTCCCACCTTCCCCAACCTTGAAACCTCTTGGACGTTTTGCTAGTTATCTTTTTATTTCTACAGTGGTCTTCTGCAGTATTTGTCCTTATGAGACTGAGTTAGTTTATTCAGCATACTGCTCTCTAGTCCTTCCCAAGTTTTGTAGTCATTTCCTAAATTGCTCCTGAGTGTTGGCGTAGTATTCCATTTTGTGAATGTACCACAGTTTCTCAGTCCGTTCGATTGTGGTTGGACATTTGGGGAATTACCACGTTTTTGCAGTGATGAATAAGAATCTCGATTTGGGTCTCAATTCTAATTTTCTTGGGGTATATATCTAGCAGTGGAATAGCTAGGTCATATGGAATTTCTATGTTCAGCCTTTTGAGGAAACGCTAAACTGCCTTACAGAGTGGTTGTATCATTTCCAAATCCCACCAACAGTATATGAGAGTTCCTTTCTCTCCACATCCTCTCCTAATATTTATTGCTTATTGTCCTGTTAAACTTTGCCTCTGCTACTGGGGTGAGGTAGGATCACATTGTGGCTTTGATTTACATCTCTTTTTGCCAGTGATTTTCAGCATTTATTCATGTGTCTGTTGGTCATCCGATTGTCTTCCTATGTGAAAAAATAGTATGACCCATAGCAAGTCTGTGAACAAAAGATCTGAACCTTGTCCTATCCTATTCCATCCTTACACCTCCTGACACACTAGAGTCCATTGTAGCAGTCAGCATGTCAGTCCACCTGATTGAGGGTCTTCCCTCTTCTTTGCCAACCTTCCACCTTTCTGAGCATCATGTTCCTCTTTAAGGAATAGCCCCTTCTAACACGTCTGAAGTATGTGAGGTGACACCATGTGAGGGCCTCGCAAGATTCTGTGAATTTTTGTTAGGAGACCCTTGTCTGAGATGGTATTGCCAAACGGTTTTTTCCTAGTCAGTAAGTTCTCTTTTCACCCTGTTGAAAAAAGTTTTTTATGCACACAGGGATTTAATTTTTAGCAATTCCCATTCATCAATTTTTCCTCTCATAGTTGTGTATTTCTGGCTATATTTGTCAGCCTCTTTATATCATGGACTAGGTCCTACTTTGTCTCTTACAATCTTTATGATATTAGGCCGTGCCCTTATGTCTTTGATATACCTGGAATTGATTTTTGTGTATAATGAGAGGTGTAGATCCTGGTTCAGCATTCTGCAGGTGGCAGTCCAGTTTTGCCAGCACCATTTGTTGAAGAGGTTGTCATCTTCCCATTTGGTAGGTTTTATTTCCTTGTTGAATAGCAGTTGACCATAGGTAGATGCTTTACATACATAACATAGATATTTGCCAATTGCCTTTTCTATCTCTTTGAAAATGAATTTGGGATTGCATTAAGCATGTAGATTGCTTTGGTAGGATTGTCATTTTTACTATATTGAGGCTTCCTATCCATGAAAAGGGAACCTTTTCCCCTATTTATGTCTTTTATTATTTCTCACCGAAATGTTCTGTAATTTTCTTTGTAAAAGTCTTTTGTGTCTCTAGCTAGGTAGGTTTATTCTTAGGTATGTCAGTTTGTGGTTGGCTATTGTAAATTGTATTACTTTCTGATTTTACTTCTCTGTGGGTTTTGGGGGGTTTTTTGGTTGGTTTTGTTTTGTATTTTTTTTACTGTAGAGGAATGCCACTGACTTTTGTATATTGATCTTGTATCCTGCCATTCTAATAAATTGGTGCACTAGCTCTGACAGTTTTTTCATTGAGTGCTTGGGATTTTCAGGGTACATTATTGTATCATCTGCATATAATGACAGTTTCACTATCTCTTTGTTGATCTAGATGCCGCTTACTTCCTTCTCATGGCGTATTGCCCTAGCAAATACTTTCAATACAGTATTGAATAGAAGTAGTGACAGTGGGCATCCTTGTCCTCCAGTTACTTCTTGAGATAAAGATGTGCTTTGCTTCAGTAAAGTTTATACCCTTGTCGGTCCTATAAGGCAATTCTGCTCCATCTTATCTTGGGGAGGTCTAGTGGTAATAAACTGTGCTGCAATCA